GTTGGAAATAATCTTGTTGGAGTTTTATCTCACATTCACTGGGAACAAACATCGTCTGAATTGGAGATGTTGCATTGTAAACATTTCGAATTTTCACTCTTCAGAAGTTTAAAATCGTCGTAATTCTGAAATTTCGCAGATAGATGTTTGGGATAGTTACTAAAATACGGCTCGGCTCGGCCGAGTCCATACACGTTCTGTGGCTGATTCTTTGGGTGTCCTTACCCTGCTGCGGCATAGAACGCTTGATGCCGCAAGTGAGTGGTATGGGGAGGGGGTGGAGTGGGGATCCTTACCCTTGTGTGCGAGTTCCGAGCACAGGGGTTGGAGATAGAGAAGGGGTTGGTATGGTGGGTTGAGTAGTAACGTGGTGCGGCAACGTAGAGGAGAAGGGAGGATGGTGTCCGGCGAAAAGGAGGAAGGACCGTGCTGCTGGCTTCTGCCGAGCGTAGGCGAGGTACGGGAAGAGCTCTGGAGAGGACCACACTGCATAGGGTGCACGAGGGGGAGGAGGGTTGGTAATACATGAGCATATTTTTTAGGTGTGGGGTTAGAGACACGGGGAGGGGGTTAGGGTGGATGTGAGAGGGGTTGGTGTGTGCGGGTCCGCGCAGGGATACGGGGAGGGGTTTGAGTAGTACATTGAATGGCTACATGGCGCAGATCCTTTGGCAGTTACTTAGGCCACATAAGAGAGGGGGAGGATGATGGGTGAAAAGGAGGATAGTAAAAAAAAAAAAAAAAAATGAAAGCAAAAATGAATATAAGAAAAGCAAATGAAAGACCGCCATCAGTATGGAGCTTTCCCACTGCGGGTAAGAGCGCGCATTTTGAGGTGGCGTTCCTATGCATGCATGTAGATTAAGTTCCCATAGCTTCAGTCCTGCAGATTTTGATGGTCTCGAGTTGAAAAGTCGGTGCAGACGCACAGAGGAACACGAACACACACAGGCACAAACACACAGACAACCTCTCGTCAATATGCGTTTTCTGCATTGCATAGGTGCAAAAAACGCATAAAATTCCCAAAACTTTCACTTGCGCGGACGTGGGGCGTAAGACATCTCAAAACTGAATTTAGGAGTTGTAGACTGTGTATGGGAAGTGAACATTCCTTTAAAGTTTGGGCTCCCTACCTGGTTGGGAATTCCTTTTCACTTTTCTTTTTTTAGTTTTTATGCGTTTTTACATATTTATGCAAACGCAGGATGTATAGTGTGAAGAGGCTGCCCGTTTCAAAATCAACATTCACATGCATCTACTTTTAAATTATGGACGTCTAATTTAAAAAAAAAAAAAAAAACATGCAACATTCGGGCAAGAAACAACATCAGAAATTGTTTCTTTGCAAAGATGTTTTTTGACTTGTGCAACTAATGGGAGTCTAAAGATTTCAAATCCAGCTTTCGCGCAAGTTTGTTCATGATCAGGGTTATGTCAGACACTTATTCGTCGCCGCATCAACTCGATAACTAGCCGAAAAACAATAACTGTAGTTTTGTCGTTCAAATATGGGCTCCTGAACCTAAATTACTTCCGAATTGCATTTGCGTTACACTTTAGGACATGTCAAACAGATCTCAGAATACGTAGAATGACAACATCCTCAAGAAAATTTAGTTTTAAGCTTCTGCGATTGCTAGCAAAACCCTAGCATACATACACAATTTGGCATTCTTCTACAGTATTTTTGCACTTTACCACTAAAAAACAAGAAATCGTAAGTACGAACTGTATTTAAAAAATACAGCAGGGATCAAAGATGATGAAAGCATATATCATACGCTTAAGTCAGTCACAGGAGGGAGGAAGCTTTCTGTGTTTTATCCTGTAACTTTTAACTTTAAAACAGGCCTAAATTCGGAAATTTTTAACGAAATTTATACTGGTTTGAAGTACCCCGGTTATTTGCATTTTAAACCTACCAAAATCTTGAATGTATTTAGTACCATGAAAATTTTTCGGCACATACTAATCTGTCAACCTTCCAGTCATATCAAAGTGTACTCAGGAGTAAGTTGCATATTTACGACACGTGATACCACGAAATTGCGTCCGCAGCAATTTATTTTGTCGTAAATCTGCCGTGGAGCATTTATGTGATATAATTTACGAATTTTTTTGTGCTGTTAGCTCGTCGAGGGACTCCTTGCATAGCTACATTGAATATTTAGATGATAGGGGACTTAACGTAAAAGAACAACGAAGCAACCAGTAATTTCAGTGGGAAGAAGTGAACGCGACAGCGAAACAACAGCTCACCCTTGTAACCAAATGAATTAATAAATAATCGCCGTTACCTTTCGATAATTTTCGTCGTAGCAGGTTTCCACCTGTTTTGCATTTCTCCGATATGTTTCAAAGTAGATTTCACTGCCAAGCATTTGTCCTCCTTCGTGCATTGGGTACAAGCGAGTGATCGCATAGCGCCGAATGAGATATTCCGATTTCAGTAGTATTTGTAACTCAGTTTTATTTCGCATCTTTGGACACTCCTGGCAGCAGAGCACAAACATATCCGCTCTGCCTTTAGAAGACTAAAATATGACTGTCAGATTGCTATCTGTTTTATAGTGACTCTGTTTCTCGTGAAGAAAGTGAATCTTTAACTCATTCACAATAAGCTAAGCTGACCTCAACCCAAGTCACATGAAATTTATCAGTTTCCTGTTGATTATCCCTCAGGTAATTGCAAAGTGGTTCAGCAGCTTTCATCAGATCTTCGTGATTAATATCATTCCGAAAGTGAATGAGGTATTGTTTATCGTTCATGTACACTTCTTTGTCAAATTCGTTCGATTTAAACACCAAGCCGTAAATGCAGAAATCGTAGTCAACACTAAAATAT